GCAAATTTCCTTAATTCTCAGAGTTAATGCAAGAGTCATAACCCTCCCTCTGCCAGTCCAAACTAGTAAGGTACTGGGCTATTCAATCAGCCAGCAAGAAACCAGTGCTATTATGCCATTTTTCCCCTCGTGTCCTGAATCCGCTCTGTGTAAAGAGCCATCAGGTCAGCCTGATTCCTCTACATCACTGAGTGAGACTGTGAAAATCCAGCTTGCTGAAGAAAGACATCCCTGACATACAATAGGCCTCAGTACAGTAGTGGAGCCGTGCTAAAGGCCTCATTATATAACTGAGCATATCATAATATACACACATTGCTGTTGAGTGATATCTCAGTGGCTAGAATACCTGTTTGACTGTAAGAAAGCTTGGCTGATATTCATCTTCCTCTTGAAGGGATTTGATCTCATCTCCTCTAACACTGATCTAATTGCATGATTGTGTGAGGAAGTCAACTCTTCTGAACTGCTCCTTTTCTGCTCCTTTTCCTCTCACAGCGCTGGCAAAGGCAGCAGGAGTGGACGGGAATGGCTGATGAGGACATTTTTCCAGTTGTTGCTGCTCAAAATCTCTCATCTGCCATGTTCTTCTCCCTGTGCGAGCAATGCGTAATGCTAAGTGAGCAGTGCTGCACAGGACAATAAAATATGCCAGGGGAGAAACTGAGCTGTTAATCTCAGCCTGCTTTAAAAGCCTATTAGGGACTGACTGGCTCAGCATCCCCACAAAGGCTGTGGTGCACCAGAGTGAAGTCATGAGCTGACAAGTGGGTGAGCTCACCTGGCAGGAGCCCAGGGAGGGCAGAGACACAGTGCAGCTGATGCTGCCTCAACGTCTCTCATTACCTTCCTCAAAAGTTCGTGCTGTGTACACAGCCTGTACAGAAGAAACTTCTGTCCAAGGACATTAGGTGCCTCCAGGGTGAAGTAGGGCTCTCATGAATGCTTCTTGTGCACTCCCTTTCATTTTGAAAGTGCCTACACACTTTGATATCCTAATGAGACGCCTACTTGCATGCCCAGGTTACCTTCAGGAATCAGGCCTTTAGGCCCTGTTTGTTGGCTGAGTACTGAAAGCGATGAAAGGGAAACCAAAAAGAGCACATCAGCAATGGTGGGACAGAGCACGGATAGTGTTGACTCACCGTTACCATTATATACGAATAATGTATATAACATACAGAAAATGCTTTAAGATAAGACTGGTACTGAGTTATCACCTCAACAAGACAGCTAACTGAAAGTAAAATACTGGCCTCAGCTGTTAGCTTAAACTGCTTGCATCTGAAAAATGAATGGTAATTACTTTGCTGTAAATGTAATCCAGAAAGTTCTCTGGTTTTTCATCTGATCGAGACTACAAATGGAAGAAGACAAGGAATGAATTTTACCCTTACACAGGAGCTGGTCAGTAGTGTTAACCGTGGATTTTCCATCCATATTTCTGCTTTCTCAATGTCCTAAATTTTGGCCAAAAAAAAAATTAAACTGAGCAAAGCAAGAAAATTCCTGGAAAATGATATAATAATAAGTAACTCTGATTGTTTTGGAAACAGGAGCACCGAAACTGCCTGTTGGCACTTACTGACCAAGTGGAACTTTCTTGTTGCTATGATTTCTTTATAACTCATAAATGGTTACTAGAGTTAAGGGCATTAATACCAGCATACAAAATTTGCTCATAAATATAATTTCAATAAGAATTTCTAAGTGTATGGACTTTCTCTGGAGTCTGAGAACAGGCATGTAAAAACAGAGATGCACAGAAACATCATCTCTCAAATTCTTGACTGTACAACTGTCATCCCAGACACAACCTATTGCACATCAAAACTCATGCAAAAATATCTTAATGACTTTAGTGGCAACTTTATAAGGCTCTTAAACAGGATGAGGTGAACGAGCCAATAACGGTGCACGCTGACACAAAAAGAACAAGTGGTAAATGCTACAGGAAAGCAGTGGGCTCCAGTCCCAGACATCAGGCAGCTCTCTCACACGGACTTAGTCTACAGCTGGTGGACTGGTTTAGTGTTACCAGTAGTAGCTGCCATATGTTGCTTTTGGGGAAGGGAAAAGACTCTGTCACACAGAAGTCCTTGGAGATATTGTGACAAGGATCTTCCCACGGCAGAACTGCTTTTTCCCTTCTTGAGGAAGTTTGATTTTCAACATTGTTGTTATGGTTGCAGAGGGGAGTATGGAAATATCTGTCTAATGCTGTTCTCTGTGGCTAGAATTTGAGATCTTCCTGGGCAGGTTTTCCATATAAAGCAAGTCTCGACTCACATACAGACAGCACTGCTAAAATCATGGAGAAAATGAAGTTGAATTATGCAGTAAGGAGGCTCTGACTCAGCACTGGACAGGAAGGGTGACCTGTGTGAAAGCTGACCGTGACAGAAGGAGTCCTGCTGGTGAATCAGCATTACTGTGATAAAAACAGGTGACTGTAATATATATATATATATATATATATATATATATATATAAAGCAGAAGCTGGTCTCACATGCATCTTTACCAGTAATATGTTATTTTTGAGACAGCACAGGGTTTGCAGCAGAGCTAGGCAGGAGGTAAGCACTGCTCAACATCAGCAGGGGATGAGGCAGATTAGAACCATCCTAGGCAGAAAACTGACTCTGAAAGAGGGGAAAAAAGGGCCAATCTTGAAAGACTGTCCTTTTTGAAGTGTTAAAAGGAAGAGAACATAACTTTCACACTCACTTCTTTAAGCCAGAATACATGATTTTCTTCATATGTTGTACTACTTCTGGATGAAGTCGCCTCAAAAGATACCTTCAAAGGAGATTGGTGTGGATTTTTCTTCATAAGACCTATTCTAGATAATTAAAAAATATTTGATTTGGTGATAGATCTTTTGTGGGAAATGGTGAAGAGTGAGAAAATGTTGTCAGAATAGCAACAGGATGTATTTGAGAAGGATGTCAAACAGAAGATTGCGTAAATTTCACCAATACCCCTCCAGATCATCTCAACCTCCTCTAGCAGCCCGCCCATTAGATAGAAAGAATAGTGAGGAATATTTGTCCAAGTTTTACAGGTCAGAAAGTTACTTCTGTGCGCTGGGGCCATGGGACACCATGCACACAGAGACACACTGAACACTTGGTGAGAAGTTGCATCTCATGTGGGAAGTGAAAAAAAGTTGCAAGGCTTCAGTGAGTTAGTCTGCAAGTACAAAAAGCTATTTCTACAAGTGATATTGTGGGCGTGTAAGCTGCACGGGAGAAAATCACACTCAATTTATAGACTCATCTCACCCACCCAGTGTGACACACCTAGCAGAATAAGAGCAGAATTATCAAAAGATGCCAAAAGATACAAGATCTCTTGTGGTTCTCTGCCCAAATGCAGCTCAGTAGTCCCAGTTCAGCGTCATACCCCGACTATGTCCATCTCCTCCCAGGACTGAGCAGGAGGTCTTTGACCCTGATGTGAACGTTCCAATTAGGTGTCTGCTGTCAGGGCAGGAATTCAGCCCTCGGTGACCAGTCTCCCCAGCTGAGCCCCACAAGCTGCCCTCTTGCTTCCACCCAGTCCAGGATCTGTCTGCATTCCATTTGCATTCTGTTTTTCAGAACGCTCTCCACAATGCCCTGCAGGAAGAGACAAGTTCAGTAAATGCTGAAAATACGTAGGTTGCTATCATCTATTCTTTTATTTTCTTTCCGACGTATAAATAAAGGAAATTAATCCAATATTCATTGCTGTTGGAGTGAAGGGGTCAAAAGGATGGGAGAGGAGCACCGGACCTCTGTTTACATCCGTTTACGAGGGTGGACAGTGGGAACAAG